GAAGTATACGAGACAAATGAGGAGGCGCCATTGGCCGAAAGCGGGCTGGGCGTGTTCCAGGGCACCTTCAGAAATTCGAATGTGACCAACTAGAAGCCGGAAATAATACCCTGGCGGTGGTCGGGAGAAACAAACCTGATAACTGCATTGGAGTAACTCTCTATGGCTGAAAATATGGTACACGTGATGTTTCAATCACGCTCATCCAAAATGATGCATGGTGGAAGAGGGCGACTAGCGGAACGATCGATATAATCCGTACGCCAAGCGCCGAAAGCCGGGAATCTGCCGTCCGATGGGTCACACTCTGTCCGCGCAAAACAGAGTTGAGCGGCGCATTCGTTTCTTACATCTTTCTGCGCTTATTAGAGCCATATACGAACATAGACCTTTGATCAGAACTGTTTCTCGCTACCACCGCTAGGGGATTCTTTTTTGCTTCTGGTTAGGGAGGCTCTAGTGAGGGTGGGCGCAACTCAAAACCTGGAGAGCGTTTGCAATTTAATGGCCGCGCTTGAGGGAGAGGATTCGAGAAAGGATATGCGCCAATGTTGCCTGCACGAGAGCAGGCGCCCGCTCTGTTACAACTCTGTTGCTCTATGCGCCTTTCCTCCTCTCGCCTCCCATTGCAAGCAATGAACGCCTTGGCGCAGCCTCTCTCGCTTCCTCCTCGCTCCGAGAATTGCAAACGTCGAGAGGAGAAAGCAGCGTTGCCAGACAAGCAGCAACGTTCAAGATGGCGGAATTTATCGTTTTTCGCGTTAAAAAAATACTTAACCTATCGCAACAGAACTGGTGGCTATGAAAAAGTAATCATTTATACCTTGTGTAAATTGAAGCAGACGATTTTTGCTCGCAGCGGAGATGGGCTTTTCGGGTTGGCCGGAGCGGGTCACGTGAATGGTGTGACGTCGCCGTGTCGTCTGCTGCATGATGCCGCTCAGGCAATTTTTTAAAAAAAGTTACATCCTTGTATGGCACAAAACTTATCGCATATTATTCTAAAATGTTTCATTATTATGTCAAAAATGATTGCCATTCCGTACATCCCCACAATACTGAAGAAACAACGATTTTCTCACGTTCTCCATGCATTTCTGACCGCAGTTGGAACCTCCGGGCGTTCGCCGCTAGTCGCCGAGAGGCGGCGTTCTAGATTGCGCTACTCTGCTCTAGCCAAGCTATGGTGGCTGGAAGGGGAAGTGTGACGGGCGCCGTATGCGCGCCGTGTCAGAGAGGGGCGCGAGTTGCGATGAAAATCTTCGCCACCGCGAGGGGCGCTGCAGTCTGCAGGAGAGTCAGCGATCTCGGGTGATCTGTTGGTTCGCGGGCGCCGGCGCTCTTCTGAGGCTGCTACAAGTTCTGCTGTTTTGGTTGTTCTGCTGTTTTGGCTGTGAGTAATCATAATATACATTAGGCTAATAATAAATAAGTGTATTAAGATAAGTTCAAAGTAATCAAGAGTCTTCCTAATGTCATTTGGGTCTAATTCAAGTTTACTGGTTTAAAAGTAACTCAAAGGAATAAAAAGAGTAATAAATAATTCAACTGAGTTCATTACAGATCATTTGTGGTATAATACCAGGAAGAAATCAAACGAGTAGCCAAAATGTCAATTAGGCGGAATTAAAGTCCATTTGGTCAATAGTAACTTAAAGTAATAAAACAAGTAAATGCAATGTCAGTTGAGCGAATAATAAATAATTTTATTAAATCTTAGCCCCAAAAATTATAAAAGTAACTCGAAGTTATCAAAAGACAAATAATAATGACTGACTGAGCTACAACCGATAAATTAGCGCTATAATCATAAAAAGTAAACAAGGGTCACCAAATGTCATTTAGGCCGAATTAAAGTCAATTGAATTCAGAGTAACTCAAAGCAATCAAGAGTAATCATAATGCCAATAATCACATAAAAATTCAATTTGCTGAATATTAGCTGAAAGTAATGAAGAGTCATTACAATGGAGTTTAATTTGAATTTATGGCCAATGGGTCAAAAGTAACTCGAAGTAATCAAAAGAGGAATAACAATGTCAACTGAGCTTATTATAGATTAATTGGAGCAATAATAGCACGAAGTAATAAAAAAGTAATCATAAATTGCAAGCTAAAATAAATTCGAGTGCGCCATAATAACTCCAGGTTACAAAAAGAGTAATAAACATATCAATTTTGCCTCGTCAAAAGTGGGGCAGTAACTCCAAGTAGTCACAATAGTAATCAAATGATCAGTTGTTCCCCACAAAATCTGAGAGTATAAACAATTATTCTAAGTTACCAAATGTGTAAAGAAAACACGACCACTGAATGCAATTAGTGCATATACTATATATCGTGGATTAATTAAAATGACTGACCCCGGGATTAAAGTGGGTAGCGCAAGGATTAAATTGTGTGGCGCTTGGGTTAAATTGGGTGGTACTGGGATTAAATTGGACGTCGTTTGGATTAGGATGAGCGGGAAAACCTGTATATAGTTCAGTGTGTGGCATCTCCAGATCAAGCGGCAATCAAACATGTGTCTGCATGCGCACTTTTCCTGTACATTTTTTGCTAACTTATTGAAATAAAATACTCGGCGCGCTTACTAACGCTTGTCCATACACTCTTCAGAGAAAGAAAAAGGTCAAAACAAAGGCTGCTTCAGAGGCAAGTAGTTTCTTCCTTTGGCTTGTATTCTTGACGCAATATCTGAAACAGTAAATAAAAGTGAGTTCTACATTGTTGTAGTCTTGTTCGTCACATTTTTCTTCGGCTGCACTTTGAAGCATATGAAGTGTTCACTATTCATAAAGTTATCAAGTAAAAAAAGTCCAATTTCCCCAGTGGACGTTCACCTGCTCCCGCGCATTTTCTAAATGTAAATCAAAAATAGTTTTTTTTTCCTTCCTTTCTGTTGCGTAACAAGGCGTCAGTCGATTCAGCTTTCGAAGAAAACGTCTAGTTGTCTTTTATTTGCGTATAAACTATTTTACAGTATTCGCAGCAAGGGGAAAATATCGCGAAGCGCACTATTCCTATCCTCCGCACGCCAGCGCTAACTCGCCTGCTGCGCGCAGCGCCCTCTCTTCTTTTCATCGCAACTCTGTGCAGCCCTCCGCTCCCGGCCGCCACACTTCCCCCCGAGAAGTTCGCGTGGCGCCCCCTTACGGCGAACCGGGGTGACGTCACGGCGAGGAGAGAATTTTTCCCCGACTCGCCCCGCTCGCCCTATGGAGGCTGTGACGACGCTAGCTGTCGGCGCGCTCGTTTATATTTAATTTTTTTAGGCGTGTTTTCCGTAGGAAGTGTAAATTTTTATGAGCCTTTATTTAGGTATGGCCTGTAGCTACAGGCGAAACTTCAACCAACATTTTAAGCATGCTTGACAGGGCAGGCAACGCATGAATCGCAGCTGGTATATGAAAATAAACAAATATGGCCACAATTGCAGGAGCATCATTATAGATTTACATCTCTCACAATAAATGCTGTTGATGGTCTGAATAAATTGGCAGGTTATGTATACTATTTTTCTTTTGTATCTCTGTTTTTAAACAAGGACGCCGAAGCAGAAAAGCTGCATGCTCCTCGAGCAACATGCTAAATACAGTCTGGGCCATGGGGAGAGAATCACAAGTAAGACAGCCCAAGTGCAGGAGCAAAGTAAAAAAAAAAAAAAAAAAAAACAAGGAACATTTATTATATACATTGCTCGCATCTAACCTTTGCTGGATTCGGATAGTATTTCAAAGGACTACTCGGGTGATATTTGTGGACTTGTTTTATATCAACCCCCAAGTAATGTATAACAAACGTAAGCGAAGGTGTCTAGCTCGTTATTAGTCCCTGAAGCCCTAAAATTGAGATTTTACTTAAATCGGAGTGTCCTGAAGCTAAAATACCATAAGCTTTTCTCACGCAGACTGTCGCCCTTCACATGTTCCACATTTTCTGCTACTAGTGCTGCATCTACCGCTGGACAGTCGTTGGAATGCTTGCTTTTACTCCTGTTTTGCTCTGTTGTCAGAGAGTCCAGCTGTAGGGAGTTTGAAGGCCGAGGAAGTCTTTGGGGACCTGTAGCAGTCTGTTTTAATTGGAAATGACAATTCAGACTAAACCGTGTATTTTTTAATACCCAAGGCTGCAATAAAGAATGTCAGGGAAAAGTATAAACATTCCAAATTACAGCACTATTGCTGTGCATATTTTTGGGCAGTTTAATACATATCATACAGGCACCTGGGGGCAATTCGGCCGATTTTGCTGCGACCATAAAAACTAATTTCCAGTAATTGTGCATCTTCTAAGAAATATGCCTGCATACGTGTATAAACTATATAATTAATTCTCGAAGAAGCTACATTTTTGTAAAACAGCCCTGTTCCACGAGCACTTCAAAGATGATCGGACACAGGGCCTTTAAAACATCTGCTAACCAGCGCATGCAGAGTGGAAGCGCAGAGTCGGGGTCGCGAGCTAATTTGCCGACCACTCAAAGGCCCATGATATAAATGCCACTTCAAATGCCTTGAAAGCGGGATGTAATATCGTCCTAAATCATGAACAGGCAAGGAACAGAATTCTAGCGTCTGAAACACTCGCGCCACCGCTTCACCGACCCCTCGCAAGATTGCCTTGCGTCGTGTGGGCGGGCGGAAAGGTTCAATGGCGGAATTGCCTCCTCCGATAGCTTTCGGAATTTGTAACCCAATTTTAAAGGTAAAAGGGACGAGCAGGCTTATAAAATGTACGGAACCACGTCAATATAGGCCTAACTCAACGTCTTGTACACCGGGTAAACGAAGTCCAGCTCCTCGAAGAGCTTGCGGCACACAACGCCAAACCAGGAGACCGGTGCTGGGAAGCGAGCCGAGGCGAGATCGCGGAGCGGTGTACTCCCCCTGACGTCACGGTACACCTCACCCAATCAGGGCGCGGCGACCGAAGCCCTCTTTCCGAGTCTGGCGCACTGATCTCTACACTAGGGGGCTGGATGGCGCATCGAGCACTCTGGCATGAAGCCACCGGAAGCGAGCAGCCTTGTCCCGGAAGTGAGTCGCGGTCTGCTCTTCGCGCGTGGTTTCTAGGCTGCTGGCGCTTGAAGTTTCCATCCTTTCCAACCTTTTAAAGACGCCAGCATGCCAGCATGCTCTGCGGTAAACTGCACGAGTAGGCCGGAGAAGACCTCAGGCAAGACGTTTCACCTGTAAGTATGTATTTCGTTGATCTCAGTGTTACGCGGCCAAGTGGCACGCAGTTTCAGTTCTAGCTCGGGTTGATCAAAGCAAGAACCGGCGCTGCCACATGGCTCCTTCATGCAGGTTTCCGCGCTGTCAGCCGAAACTGTACCAGCAATGGGTCGTAAACTTAAAAAGGGACAAGTGGAAACCATCTCCCGGCAGCAGACTTTGCAGCGACCACTTCGATGATTCGTGCTTCGACCGAACAGGAGCCAGAACCCGGCTGCGAAGCGGCGCAGTCCCGACGCTCTTCAACTTCCCAGAACACCTGCAAGAGGTAGGACTGCCTTTTTCAGGCGGTAAACGAGCAGTAGCGTGGATACCGTTCTAGTTGTGCCGTGCATGATGTACGCGCGATTGGGTGCAAGTTCAGGTCGTCGCATCTTGCTTGGGCGAGGCAGTTCGTATTGACGTTTGTCTTGCAAAACCTCGTGCGTTTTAACTTTTCCCAACGCACAGGTGAAATTCTGTTCCTCAGCAAACAACTTCAAGGCTATAATTGATGACACACTGCTAATGTGCCTGCAGATGCCTTGTGGCTAAGTGCGCATAACAGCAGGACCAGCAGGCAGCGCATGTAGGAACTGAAAAGCGAACAGGCATTTTTGGGAAAAGGAACAACAGAAATTTTGATCAAGCAATAAGTTAAATTCACTGACCCAGTGGACTTGACATAGCAGCAATAGTTCCGCCTTGATTGATGTAATGTATAATCACAAACTTTTCCGGTAATGTCTCAGCAAGTTCTCGAAGATGATAAGATCCAATATTGCTGGCTTATTAAAAAGCATATAAATATCTGGGACTATAGATGCCATTTGTAGCACGTGCTAATAGCTAATGATTAAATATTATCTATATGCTAATATTTTTGCAATGTCTTGCATTTACGGTGAGGATTAATTTGTCTAACAGAACATGTTTATTACATGCTTATTTCAGAAAACTGCGACAAGGAAGCCACCAAAGCTGAGAACTCCGAACCTGGATGCGACACTACTTGACGGGGAAGCCAGCGGCTCGTCGAGTACACCACAAAAGGCCTCAAATGATGTAAGCTTACTTTTGAGCAAACTGCCTCAATGCAGAGACACCGTAAGTAGTAGACAAGAAAGGCTTTCATGCTCTATAGTTTTCTTTTGCTGCAAAGAGAGATTAATCAAGGATGAGTGGGGGAAGCAGCATTTAGATACCAAATCCTTTTGCTAACATTTTAAGTGGTTGCAATGCGCAGTCCAGTTATGTATTACACTTGCATAATATTAATCTATCAAATGCATTGTTTTCAGGTTGCCGAGCACAACTATGCTGTCAAGGACACTCCAAAAACCCTGAAAAGGAAGCTTGATGCCTGTGCAACTGCTGCAACCAATGCCAAGAAAAAGCTCAAGCTCAGTCAGCAACGAGAACGTCGACTGAAGAGGAGAGTAGAAACATTTAGTGAAATTATCGAAGACCTAAGAAAGAAACAGCTAATTTCAGAAGATGCTAGTGCAATGCTTGAGAGATGTTTCTCAGGAGTCTCCCTAGCAGTGATGCAGCGTTTGCTCAAACAAACTCCGGTCGGAAGTGACAAGCTGGCTAAGCTAAACCGAGAGAAATACTCGCCTGCACTACGTATGTTTGCGCTCACGCTGCAGTTTTATTCAACTAAAGCGTACAATTATGTAAGAGAGACTTTTGAATGTGCCTTGCCACATCCATCAACGTTGACCAAGTGGTACAGTTCTCTAAATGGAGAACCTGGTTTTACAGGTGAAGCTATGGATGCCATCCGGGCAAAAGCCAACGAAGTGAAGCAGAAAAACAAGGAGCTTCTTTGCAACCTTGTTGTTGACGAGATGGCGATCAGAAAACACATAGAATGGGATGGAAAAAAGTGCAGGGGCTATGTTGACATTGGTAACGAGCTTGATGATGACAGCAATGATGTCGCTACTGAAGCCCTCGTTTTTATGCTTGTATCACTGGATGCGCACTGGAAGATCCCCTGCGGATATTTTCTGATCAATGGACTTTCAGGAAAGGAACGCACAAACATAGTCAAACTGTGTCTGACAAAATTGCATGATGCAGGAGCATTTGTAACATCGCTGACATGTGACGGACTCCGTTGTAACTTTACAATGCTCAAGAATTCGGGGGCTTCACTTGAACACAGATCGATTATGGTGACATCATTCCCTCACCCTGTCACAGACGGGAGGGTATACTGTTTCCTGGATGCATGTCACATGATAAAGCTGGTGCGGAATGCTCTCTCTTCACTGAAGTGGCTCAGAGATTCAACCGGCTCATTGGTAGAATGGAACTACATCCGACAACTGTATGAGCTCCAGGAGAAAGAAGGCCTGCATGCTGCAACGAAGCTCCGTGCTGCACACATTGACTGGCAGAAGCAAAAAATGAAGGTTAATCTTGCTGCCCAGACCTTGAGCTCTAGTGTTGCAGATGCCATAGAGTTCTGCCGGGAAGATCTGAAATTCCCACAATTCAAGGGATCGGAAGCAACTGTGAAATTCATCCGGCTCTTTGATCGACTCTTTGATTGCTTAAACTCGCGTAACCCCCTCGCTAAGGGATTCAAGGCTCCTCTCCGACCTGGCAGCAGAGGCACTTGGATTTCTTTTCTTGAGAAAGCCAAGGATTACATAAGAGCACTCACTGATGCTGCAGAAAGACCTATCTTCGACACACCAAGGCAAACTGCTTTTCTTGGTTTCCTGATCACCATTGAAAGCACAATCGGCCTTGCATCCTCCCTCCTTTTTGGTGAAACCCCACCACTGCGCTACCTCCTGACCTACAAGCTTTCGCAGGACAACATTGAGCTTTTCTTTGGTGCCGTTCGTTCCAAGGGAGGCTGGAACAATAACCCTACGGCGCGTCAGTTCATAGCAGCGTACAAGCGACTGGTTGTCCACAATGAGGTAAAAGGTGGCCTGGGAAACTGTGCTTTACTAGATAAAACACGGATTTTGTATGTGAGCAGTCAGTTCTGCGCTCCTGATGAACTGGACATGACTACAGCAAAGCAAAATGATACAGAAGACCTTGTGCAAAGCGTAGACCTCCCTGACGAGAGTGAAATGGAAGGTGAACTTGAAAATCTTCCTCTGCTGTCACCCTACTTGGGAGATGTTGTAGGCTACATCGCAGGGTTTGTATGCCGAATGGTTGAAAAAAAGATACCTTGCTCAACTTGTCGCTCAGCATCTAAGGCTGAGGCGTGCTCGTCAGCACTTCTGAACAGAAAAAATTCTGGTGGCCTGACCAAGCCATCGCCTTCCACAACATACATCTGTCAGCTGGCGGAACGGGTAGTTCGACAGCAGGAGAAGGTGGATGGTGGCAGTTTTCCCAAGAAAGGGATGACTGCCGACACTCTGACAGCCAGAGTTATGAGGGAGCTTTCGGGGCAATTAAACATGCTCTATCCAGAGCTACATGAGCACATGTTCCAATCCGCAGTCGACTCAAATCATTTTGTTCGCCTCGTGAAATGTGTCATTGGATGCTACATAAAGATAAGGATGCACCATGCTGCAAAAAGAGCAACTATCAAGATCGCTGGTCCGAACATGCGTAAGCGCTTGACCAAACTGATTCTTTTCAACCACCAGTAAAAACCAAGCTGTCTGAAACTTGCTGACAAGCGTGTCAGTTTTGCACAAAATTAAGTTTTTTTTTTTTTTTTCTTTAAACCAGAATTTTATTTCCTTTTACATTTAGTATGCCCCCAGGGCCAGCAACCAGGTAATGGCCTTTGATGGGGCTCTTATATGGTGTCATTTCTAGTAATAGTATTATGGCCAGAGAATGCTAAACCTAAATCAACATTTATTTTTACAGTACTAAGGAAATCAGTTAAAATGATTGAGAAAGCTATTATACTTTATAATAATTGCAGGCTGCAGCATATGCTGCTCCCCACGCGAGGTAGCAGACTGGTTCCCTGTCTCTAAAAGCAGTTAAAGCTACTGGATACCGCGCAGACCACTTTACTGACAAAGTTGTTTTCTACGTTACGGGTGCGTGCAGCGACTTACGCCCGCGACTTGCCCGGACATTCCTACGAGTAGCTGGCACGCGGCGTACGAAGCCCAGGTATCTCGGTTGCATATCTACGCAACTGTCAAGTCCGAGCCAGCCCTTAGAGCCTTTAGGTATAGGCCCTGCTCATGAATGTAATCGTGCATGGCATTTCCTTCTACCCTGCTGGAAATGGCAGGCCTGTTCCAATTGAAATGCATAGCCAAAGCCTATGAGCATGAATGTGCAATTGGCGCCGATGAGAAAATCCGATGTTTTGCACATCGGTGCGACTGGAAATGCTGCAGAGAAGCCGCAGCACGGGGGAAGGCCAAAGAATCGGTTGAGGGAAAGTCAACTTTAGGGGCCAAGCGCCATGATGCCAATTGTGTCAATGTGCACGACACTCAGTTTGCTCATTACCGCTCATTGCAGCCAGTGGCGCTATGTGGCAGAGCCATTGTACGGGAGATAGCAAAGAGCCATGCACTGCAGAGAAGTGAACTCGGTGCAGTATGGCAGTGACAATGCTCAATCGCCAAATTAGCACACCCTTGCAAAAATTTTCTATGGGACCGATAGAGATTTTTATGCGATCAATAGGATTTCATCGTACCGATGGGCATTTCTACTGGGCCGATAACAAGTTATATCGTACCAATACAGACTTCTCTTGTACCATTAGGAACTTCTGTGGGACAAGCAGGAACTTCTATGGGACAAGTAGAAACTTCTATGGGAACAACACGAATGTTTTCTGGTCCGGAATACAAGTGCCTATTGGTCCTTCAATAGGATCAATAACAAGTTGTACTGGTTAAACTGAAAGCTTCATTGGTGAAATGGAATGCATTTCGGATCGAGAACTTTTAATGGTCGACTGGGAATACAGAACATAAAATCTATTAAGTGGGCATCTATCAGGTTAAACAGTATGCTTAGTGGAGAAATTAGAGTTGTTATATACTAAAGTTTTATGTTTTGAGCACAGGAAAATAATTTTTGCCGCAAATATACCCGATGGCAGGCACGCAGCCAGGATTTTGATGCGCCCATGACAAAATACCGTATGAGGGGGAGGGGGGAAAGGAGGCCCCACCAAATGAAAGGTTTGGGAGGAGGGGGGGGGGGGTCCCATGGTCCCCCCCCCCCCCCCCCCCGTGCAGATACGTGCGTGCCCGATGGGTTCCTCTCTGTCAAATAACCATTTTTTTTTTAGCTATATAATTTGGTTGG